CATTGGACTCCATGCTCAGCGGGGAGTCGGCTTGAGATTCTTGCTCTCCCTCTCCTTACGCTCCTCCCCCAACTCGCTCACGCTCTCTCTCTGTCTCAAATCAATAAATAAATCTTTAAAAAAAATAAACTTTGTAAGGAAAGGCAAAAGATCCAGAATAAGCAACATAATAGTAAAAAAGAACCAAGTTGAGGACTGATACTATATGACTTCAGGATTTCCTATAAAGCCACACTAATCAAGACTGTGGTTTTAGCAAAAGAAGAGATAAACAGATCAATGGAACAGAAGAGAGCCTAGAAACAGACCCACCCATTTAAAGCCAAATGACTGTCGAACAATACTTATGCAAGAGTGGGCATCCTTGATGTGTCCCTGATCTTAAGGGAAAGGCTCTCAGCTTTTCCCCATTGAGGACGATATTCGCTGTGGGTTTTTCATAGATGGATTTTATGAACATGAGGAATGTTCCCTCTATCCCTATACCCTGAAGAGTTTTAATCAGGAAAGGATGCTGTATTTTGTCCAATGCTTTTTCTGCATCAATTGAGAGGATCATAGGGCTCTTCTCTCTCCTCTTATTAATGTGTTCTATCACACTGATGGATTTGCGAATGTTGAACCACCCTTGCATCCCGGGGATAAATCCCACTTGGTCGGGGTGGATGATCCTTTTAATGTATTGTTGGATCCCATTACCTAGGATTCTGTTGAGGAGTTTGGAATCCACATTCATCAGAGATATCGGTCTGAAATTCTCCTTTTTGCTGGGGTCCTTGCCTGCTTTGGGGATTAAGGTAATGCTGGCCTCATAGAATGAGTCTGGAAGCTTCCCTTCTGTTTCTAGTTTTTGAAACAGCTTCAGGAGAATAGGTGTTATTTCTTCTTTGAATGTTTTGTAGAATTCCCCAGGGACTCCATCAGGCCCTGGACTCTAGTTTTTTGGGAAGTTTTTGATCACTGCTTCAATCTCCTTACTGGTTATTGGCCTATTCAGGTTGTCAATTTCTTCCTGTTTCAGTCTTGGCAGTTTATAGGTTCCCAGGAAGGCATCCATTTCATCCAGGTTGCTCAGTTTATTGGCATACGGTTGTTGATAATAGTTTCTAATAATTGACTCTATTTCCTTGGTGTTAGTCGTGATCTCTCCCCTTTCATTCATAATTTTATTAATTTGGGTCCTTTCTCTTTTCTTTTGGTCACGTCTGGCCAGTGGGTTATCGGACGTATTAATTCTTTCAAAGAGCCGGATTCTAGTTTTCGTTGCTCTGATCTACTGAGTCTCTCGCCACCTTTGTTCAACATAGTACTAGAAGTCCTAGCAACAGCAATCAGACAACAAAAAGAAATAAAAGGTATGCAAACTGGCAAAGAAGAAGTCAAACCCTCTCTCTTCGCAAATGACATGATACTTTATGTGGAAAATCCCAAAAGACTCCACCCCCAAATTGCTAGAACTCATACAGCAATTCAGTAATGAGGCAGGATACAAAATCAATGCACAGAAATCAGTTGCTTTCTTATACACTAACAACGCAACTGTAGAAAGAGAAATTAGAGAAACGATACCACTTACAATAGCACCAAAAACCATAAGATACACCTCGGCATAAACCTAACCAAAGTGGTAAAGGATCTCTACTCTAGGAACTACAGAACACTCATGAAAGAAACTGAAGAAGACACCAAGGGATGGAAAAACATTCCACGCTCATGGATCAGAAGAATAAACATTGTTAAAATGTCTATGCTACCCAGAGCAATCTACACCTTCGATGGCATCCCGATCAAAACTCCTATGACATTATTCAAAGTACTGGAACAAACAATCCTAAAATTTGTATGGACTCAGAAAAGACCCCGAATCGCCAAGGAAGTGTTGAAAAAGAAAAACAAAGTTGGGGGCATCACGCTGCCCGATTTCAAGCTATATTACAAAGCAGTGATCACCAACACAGCATGGTACTGACACAATAAACAGACATGTAGACTGATGGAACAGAACAGAGAGCCCAGATATGGAAACTCAACTCTACGGTCAAATAATCTTCGGCAAAGCAGGAAAAAACATGCAATGGAAAAAAGACAGTCTCTTCAATAAATGGTGCTGGGAAAATCGGACAGCCACATGCACAAGAATGAAACCCGACCATTCTCAAACACCATACACAAAGATAAACTCAAAATGGATGAAAGACCTCAATGTGAGACAGAAATCCATCAAAATCCTAGAGGAGAACATAGGCAATATCCTCTTTGACATCGGCCACAGCAACTTCTCTCAAGATACATCTCCAAAGGTTAGTGAAACCAAAGCAAAAATGAACTTTTGGGACTTCATCAAGATCAAAAGCTTCTGCACAGCAGGGGAAACAGTCAACAAAAGAGAGAGGCAGGGGCGCCTGGGTAGCTTAGTCGTTAAGCGTCTGCCTTCGGCTCAGGTCATGATCCCAGGGTCCTGGGATAGAGCCCCGCCTCGGGCTCCCTGCTCTGCGGGAAGCCTGCTTCTCCCTCTCCCACTCCCCCTGCTTGTGTTCCCTCTCTCGCTGTGTCACTCTCTGTCAAATAAATAAAAAATAAAATCTTAAAAAGAAAAACCCCACACAAAACAAAGAGGGACCCCACAGAATGGGAGAAGATATTTGCAAATGACAGTATAGATAAAGGGCTGGTATCCAAGATCAATAAAGAACTTCTCAAACTCAACACCCAAAAAGCAAATAATCAAGTCAAAAAATGGGCAGAAGACATGAACAGACACTCCTCCAAAGAAGACATACAAATGGCTACCAGACACATGAAAAAATGTTCATCATCATTAGCCATCAGGAAAATTCAAATCAAAACCACATTGAGATACCACCTTACACCAGTTAGAATGGCAAAAATGGACAGGGCAAGAAACAACAAATGTTGGAGAGGCTGTGGAGAAAGGGGGACCCTCTTACACTGTTGGTGGGAATGCACGTTGGTACAGCCACTTTGGAAAACAGTGTGGAGGTGCCTCAAAAAATTAAATATAGAGCTACCCTATGGCCCAGCAATTGCACTCCTGGGTATTTGCACCCCAAAACACAGATGTAGTGCAAAGAAGGGCCATATGCACCCCCAACGTTCATAGCAGCAATGTCCGCAATAGCCAAACTGGGGAAAGAGCCCCGGTGTCCTTCAACAGATGAATGGATAAGGAAGATGTGGTCCACATATACAGTGGAATATTACTCAGCCATCAGAAAGATGAATACCCAACGTTTGCATCAACATGGATTCGGACTGGAGGAGATTATGCTAAGTGAAATAAGTCAAGCAGAGAAAGTCAATTATCATCTGGTTTCACTTATTTGGGGAACATAAGGTATAGCATGGAGGACCTTAGGAGAACGAAGGGAAAAATGAAGGTGGGGGGGGCGGAATCAGAGGGAGAGATGAACCATGAGGGACTATGGAGTCTGAGAAATAAACAGGGATTTGGAGGGGAGGGGGAGGGGGGATGGGTTAGCCCGGTGATGGCTATTAAGGAAGGCACGTACTGCATGGAGCACTGGGTGTTATATGAAAACAATGAATCCTGGATCACTACATCAAAAACTAATGATGTATTGTATGGTGACTAACATAATATAATAAAATAAAATTAAAAAAAATAAAGTCAAACGACCATTCAGTGGAAAAAGAACAGTCTTTCAACAAATGGCACTGTAGGAACTGGATGTCCATAGGCAAAAAAAAAAAAAAAAAGAAGAAGAAGAAGAAAGAAAAGGAAAAAAAAGGATCTAGACACAGACCTTGTATCTTTCATAAAAATTAACCCAGTATGGATCATAGACCTATATGTAAAACCAAAACTGGAAAACTTATAAAAGCACAGGAGAAAATCTAGAAATCCCTGGGTTTGGTGATGACACTTCAGTATAACACAATGAAATAAAAATTTGAGAAGTTGGACTTTAGTAAAATTAAAAAGTTCTGTTTTGTGAAGGACCCTGTTAAGACAACATAAAGACAAGCCACAGAATGGTAAAACATACTTACAAAACATATGTGACAAAGGACCTTATTTCCAAATACACAAAGGCCTTTCAAAACTAAACATTAAGAAAAAAAGAATGCAATTTAAAAATGGGGAAAAGAGCTGAAAATATACGTCACCAAAGAAGATACAGAAAAGGCAAACAAGCATATGAATAGGCAACATCCTCTATGTCGTAAGGGGACTGAAATTTAAAACAATGACATACCCCTATACATCTACTAGAGTGACTAAAATAAAAAAACAAAACGAAACACAAAAACAAACCTGATGTACAAAATGCTGATAGGGGTGCGGAGCAACAGGAACCCTCATTCATTGCGGGAAGACGTGCAAAATGGCACAGCCACTTTGGAAGTCATTTTGGCATTTCCTTACAAATTTAAACACAGTTTTATCATACGATACAGAAATCACATTCCTAGGTATATGCCAAACTGATTGAAAACTTGTGTCAATAAAATCTTGCCATTTGCAGCGATGTGGATGGAGCTAGAGTGTATTATGCTCAGCAAAATAAGGCAGTCACAGAAAGACAAATACCAGGTGATTTCACTCACATGTGGAATTTAAGAAACAAAACAGAGGAACATATGGGATGGGGGAAACAGGAGGTGGACGGGTGGGGACAAGCCATAAGAGACTCTTAAGGATTGAGAAAAGAACTGCGGGTTGGTGAACGGAGGTGGGAGGGGGATGGGTGAAATAGGTGATGGGGATTAAGGAGGGCACTTGTTGTGATGCGCACCGGGTGTTGTATGTAAGTGATGAATCACTGAATTCCACTCCTGAAACCATATTACAGTGTATGTTCACTAACTAGAATTTAAATAAAAATTTAAAAAGAAAAAAGAAAAAGAATTCAACCTTTGGAGTCAAACCTGGGTTCCAGGGGCAAGAGGAAATTTTTGAAGGTGATGGATGATTTTATGGCACTGACTGTAATAATGGTTTCAGAGGTGTATACTTACCTCCAAACACATCAAGTTGTATGCATTAAATAGCACAGCTTTCTGTATGTCAGTCATAACCTCAACAAAGCAGTTAAAAAAAAAAAAAAGAAAACCTATGTCAACACAAAAACCTACACACAAATGTGCAGCTTTCTGTCAAAACTGGTCAGCGATTAAGATGCCCTTCTCTAGATGAGTGGATAAACGAAGTGTGCTATTCCATGCAATGGAATATTATTCAGGGATAAAAAGTCATGAGCTATCAAGACATGAAAAGACACGAAGGAAGCATTAATGCATTTTGGTAAGGAAAGGAAGCCAGTCTGAAAAGGCTACAACTGCCTGATTCCACCTATATGCTATTCTGGAAAAGGCAAAACTAGCAGTGGCTAGCAGTGGTCCAATGTAGCGGGAGTTGGAAGCGGAGGGTGAATAAGTGAAGCACAGAGGAATTTTAGGATGATGAAACTATTCTGTTTGATACTGCAATGGTGGCTACATGACTTTTTGCATTTTCAAAACCCACTGAATGTACAACACAAAGACTGAATGTCAATGTAAACTACGGACTTCGTTAATAATTATGTGTTAGTACTGGTTTATTAATTATAACAAATGTATCACACTAACGCAAGATCTTAATAACAGGGGGAACTGTGATGGGGGCTATGAGAATCCTCTATGCTATCTGCTCAATATTTCTGTAAATTTAAAACTATTCTAAAAACAAAGTCTCTTAATTAAAAGAACACTGAGCTGTTTGTCATATTGACATAATACTCACTTCCATCCCAGAGGGTGCTGGCATGTCCCACCTCACAAGGAAGTAAGCCCAAACACAAAAAGGCCTAGAAAAAGAAAGGGAATGTAAGATGAATGGAGATTTTCGGTAATACGTTCCCAGAAATCCCTTCAGTTTGGCAGCATCTTTGAAGCGTCAGCCTCCCCATTCCTACTTAGCCTGATCTAGGACTTGGCCCGGAATGCTTCTCCCAGTCATAGATCTAGTCAACACTGTAGATATCCCCCCCTGGCTCCGCCACCTCATGCCCCCATGCCTCACTGCTTGGTCACAGGGCCACAGCTTATGCAGTTGCTGTCATGTGTCATGCTCTTCCTCTCCCACCTTCATCTGCGGAAATCCGACTCATTGCTAAGACCCAGTCGATATACCATATTCCCTGAAGCTTTAAACCATTTCTTGACACAGCACCTGCCACCTTCCTCTGCCTTTCCTTGACATTCCAAACCTGGGCGATAGCATTTGACACATCAGTTGCTCTTCTCCACATAACCTTTGTTCATCTCTTTCTCCTCCCATTAAGTCATTCAGCCTCCTTTTTTTTTTTCCTCGCTCTCTCTCTGCAGAAAAAGAAACCTCAATAGATGGAATGGATAGCAGTCAGGAAGTAGCTGAGGCTCATGATGTTGAACCGAAGGGTCTCACAACGTACAGCTGAGGAAGAAAATAAAATGAGAAACATAAAGGCAAGAAATTTTAAGGTGGTTCAGAAGAACAGGAGAGAAAAAATGAAGATGAGACATTTATGATATAAGCAATATTTCTAAAACTGAAGAAATACTTCAGCTTTTGTAAAACCACCACCACCACCACCACCACCACAACAAAACCAAAAGGAGTCCCCCAGATAAGCACCAGGGTTAATAAAAAGGGATCCACACCAAAAACTACCCTGGAAAATGTCCTGTTTCATAATTTGTTCACTCACTCGGTCAAGTGCTTTGGTCTTCTTCATCCTGAATTTCCCGTAAATCTGGAACCCATGGCATTTCCCCTCTTCCTTGCAGGCAGATCAGCTGAGGCTTAGAAATGGGAAATCCTGTAAGGAGAAAGAAAATATATAGTTGGTTAGGCTGGGAACAAAGTACTGCCAGATTAGTCCCACCCAGTGGGTAAGCAGAAACAAGAGAGGAAGAAGAGAAAATGTTCAACGAGAAAGACCAAAGGAAAGGCAGACACCATGTGAGAATGTTTAGGTTCCTACTATGTCTCCAGGCAAGAAGCTTGTCAGAATAATACTGGAAATACAACGTAGTAAACAGATATAATCGAGTGTTACAAGTGCTATAATCTAAGCCAGAGACAACACACAGACTGGCAAAAATGAGAAAAAAGTCCAGTGGTTCTCAAATACAAGCCCTTGGACTAGCTGCGTTAGGACTCATGTGGAGCTTCTAAAAACACTTTTCTGGGCCCATCAGCAGAAATCCTATTTCATAGGTCAAGAGTGGGGGCTGGGAATCTTTATCGGCATTCACAAGTTCACCAGGGCCACGCAAAACAAAGACATCTTTCCATTTATTTGTGTCTTCTTCAAGTTTTTCATCAATGTTTCATATTTTTCAGCATACAGCTCTTTCACCTCCTTGGTTACATTTATTCCGAAGGATATAATTGTATATAATTTGGTGATATTGTAAATGGGACTGTTTTCTTAAATTCTTGCTCTCATACTTCATTGTTAGTGTATAGAAACATAACTGATTTTTGCATATTGATTTCTGATTCCTACAAACTTTGCTGAATTTATTAGTTCTAACAGAGTTTTGTCTCTTCAGATGCCTAATGCAGGCTAACTGGAAGACTTGACCTTAAGGGTACAGCCGGGAAAGTTAGGATGTTAGATACACAGTCCGGCCCTTAACAGGGAAAAACTGAGAGCTGGGTGCTTGTGCCTACTCACTCTACTGAGCCAGAGGGACCAGTCACTGGGAGTGCCTTTCTGCCCATGTATAATCATTACTTATATAATTTTATGACTTTAAAAAAAAAAGATTTTTTAAAAAAAGATTATGTGACATGATAGCCAACAGGTATTAACTAACACTACAGGTATTAACTAACACTACAATGGCAATCATATGGCTATATATAAATGTATAAAATCCACATGTTGTCCACCGTAAACTTACATCATGTTATATGTCAAATATATTTCAATAAACTTAAATAAATGTACTTTTTAAAAGCTAAGAGAAGGAGCGTGAGTCTATGTTTATAGAGTTTGTTTTATTTTCCATTTCTGGTTCTCTTTGCTTGCTCCTCTGGATTCAGGTTAACATGTGGTGTTATTATCTTACTCCCATATAGCTTTGCTCTCACCCGCCTCCTTCGTGTTTTTATTGTCAATTACATATCTGTATGCTATTAGCCTACAAATAAAATTTTATATAGATTCTTTCATGCAATTCTTTTTAAAAGTCTTTACAGAGCAGGAAGATATATTTAATTTATACTATCATTTATTATTGCCTACGCCATTACCTTTACCGACACTTCTCGTCACGCAAATTCAAGTTACTCTCTAGCGTCACTTGCTTTCCACCTGAAGGACGTCCTTTAGCATTTTTTGTAAGGTGGCTCGGCTAGCAACAAATTCTCTCAGTTTTTATTTATCTGGAATATACTTAAGCTTCATTCGCAAAAACTAGCCCTCGCTCTCTCTCTCTTTATAAATATATATATTTGTGTATATATAAAATATATACGTATGTTTCTTGGTTCAAGATTGGTTTTTCCTTTCAGCACTTTGAATATATTAGCACAACGCCTTCTGCCCTCCACTATTTCTGATGAGGAATATTCTGCTAATCGGCTAATCTTATGGCAGGTCCTGTGTAGGACCTGCAATTTTTGTCTTGCTGCTTTCAAGAGTTTGTGTTTGGTTTTCAAAAACGTTACTCTGGTGTGGTACATAATCTGGGTATGAATCCCTTATTGAATACATTTACCTTCTTAGATGCCCATGTTAGTTTTCACCAAATTTAGGCAATTTTCAGCCACGCGTTCTTTGAATATTTTTTATGCTCCTTTATTGGTCTACTCTCTTCTAGTATACCCCATTGCATGTGTGTTCATATGTTTGATGGACATGTAATGTTGAATGCGCATTTCCCTAAGGCTCTATTAATTTTTCTTTATACGTGTTTTTCTCTGATTTTAGGATTGCCTGATCTCTACCAATCTCTCTTCAAGTTCACTTTCTTACTTCTGCCAAAACAAATTTACTCTTGAGGCCCTCTGGCGAATTTTTCATTTCAGTCATTATCCTTTTCAAATCCAGAAGTTCCCCCATTTGGTTTCATTTTATCATTTATCTTTCTGGATAGTCTCTATTTGGCGACATTGTCATCACGCCTTCCTTTATTCCTTTCAGCATAGTTTCCCTTAGTTATTGGGCCAAATTTGTTATACGTGCTTTGAGGTCCCTTTCTGCTAGATCCATTTCTGGGTCCTCCCACAAGCAGTTTTTGTTGCCTGATTTGTCTTTTACCCAGTGCATAGGTCACACTTCCCTATTTCTTTCTGGGTCTTACAATTTTTGTTGAAAACTGGGGGATTTGGGTACTATATTGTAGCAGCTCTGGTGTTGCTACAATATAGTAGTTGCTCTGGACCTGCTGTTTTGCCCATTTATTTGTGTGGTGATGTGGCTGGACCAGATTAGTGAAGTCTATTTCCCTGCAACGTGCAGCTTCCGATGTCACCACTGAAAGGGCACGACCTTGGGCAGGCACACAGTCTCCCTGACTCCCCTTCTCCCTCATGGGTAACTGTGGTTTGGGCCAGGAGGCTTTTCACAGTCTCTTTTCCTGATAGTTTCATTAAGCTTCTGGATAGACTGCCTCGACTGGTCTCAATTCCAGCTCTTAGCCTCCATTAATTTCCAGCTGATTGCTTTCCTTTTATTGACAATGCCCTCCCTGGGCAATGAACGGATCCACAGTCAGTTCCTCTTAACTTTGGGACCCTTTGCAGGGGTAATCTTTCAGGTCACTCTTTGATGCCTGCTCCAACTCTAGGAAGACTCTTCTTAGGTATCTCTTTCCCTCCTTCGCTCTGTCAAAATTCCAAATGCCCTACCGTTTGGCTTGTTACATTCAGAGCTACCAGCCCCCTCTTAAAAAGCTCACTACCAAGATCTCCATTCTTATCAACAGTACCCTTAGGCCTGCACTTTCCCATGCTCTTCCAAATAAACTCAGTCCCCTTCAGGACAGTCTCCCTTAGAGAGAGCTACGGAGGTCTCTGGAGTTACAGCCTGCCTTTCCCCTTGGGCAGCCCTGCCTGCTGCTCCAGAACTAGTAGTGGGGACGGTGGCTCTCTTCCCTCAGAGTGATACCCCTGCTGTACAAACAACACTCTGGGCCAGTCTAGTAGCTCTCGATCTTGTCAGCTTTACTCTCCTGGTGTGGCAATTGTCTTATAAGCGAGCTGGGGCAAGGGTGATTAGGGCCCCGTAGTCTCAGCCTGTCACACCTGGAGTCTATCTTTGTCCTATGAATCGGGCCAGGTGGGGTAAGGGAGCAGCAGATCTCTCACCCGCGCTTGCCTGGAATAGAATTTCTGAAACGTAGCGCTGAGAATGAGGAGAAGAAATTCTGGCAGCCGGCCTCTCCCTCAGAGAAGCGGTAGCTCTGGAGTTGGGGGGCGGGGCACGGGAGGGGGTGGGCAGGAGAAGGAGCTCCACCTTCTGAGCTGTAGCTACCCAGAGTAGAGCTTCCATCATACTGAGCCAGGGGGAGGAGGTGAAGAGACAATGTGTGGCTCAAATGCCACAGTCTCTCATGGTTCTTACCGAGATTTAGTACATTTGCATGAACTGTTTCTCCACTTGCTATATACTCTTTGAACAGTTGCTAGAGACTTTAAATGATTGTTTTATAATGTTTGCAAGTTTGATATTTTTTTCCCTCTGGCAAATCATCTATGGAGTTCCTCACATCATTCAGGAATTGCTTCTCTTTTCCATTACTTTTTAAATATTATTTTTATTATTACATTATATTACATTATTATCATATATATTATTGTTATTCTTATAAACATGCATTGTTTTAAAAGAATTCAAATAGAGTGCTTTTATATAAAAGGAAGCAAAGGTCGTCCCCCAGCCCTACTTATCAGGGGTAGCAATCTGCTAGTATGTTTTCATAGGTATATGTGTATCGTATTACATTCATTGCAAGCTGTCAGAAGTAGAATCATAAAAGGAATTTGGAAAATTACCTCTCTCACGCTACCACTGACTACATTTCTCCCATTTCCCGAAGCCAACAAATACTTCCAACTGTCAGATTAAAAAAAAAAATCAATCAATCGACATGCATCTGCACATAAAATTTAGTCAGCTGAGAGATGAATTCGATCCACTCTCCCAGTGGAACCTTTAACAGAGGTCTCAGAAAGTGACAGGTCAGGCAGAAACAAAATTCAAATGCAGAAAATTTGAATAAGAAAATTAATATGCTTCTTATTCAAATAGAGAAGAAAATACAAACTAAATATGTATCAGATCATAAAAGAAATCTTAACGGATGTCAAAAAGCAGGCATTCCATACATTACAGTACAATAAAAAACCAACAACAAAAGATAGATTTAATTGCAAGAAGAAGGGCTATCTACCTGAACAGATGCAAATGCCTTTCCAAGAAAATTCTCAGGTCAGGAGAAATCCAAAGCAGCAGTTACACACTAAAAATACACCACAGGCTTCCAGTTATGGAATGCATAAGTCACGGGAATAAAAGATACAGCATTGGGAATCTCGTCAATGATACCGCAATAGCGTTGTATGGTGACAGGTGGGAGCTACACGTGTGGCGAGCACAACATGAGGTTTAAACTTGTTGAGTCGCTATGTTGTACACCTGAAACTAATGTAATATCTGTGTCTCGATTATACTCAAATTTTTTTAAATATAAAAGTACATAAACCATAGTAAAACACAACCAACAAATCCTGTGCAAGTTAATACCAAGACGACTCAGAGTAAACTTTGCAGCCTGAAACACATTCACTCCAAAGAAAGACTGAATATACGTGAAAACATTCCAATTAGGAAGCTCGACGGATACCAACAAAAGAACTACAGAGGGCATTAAGACACATAAAGCAGAAATTAATAAAAATAAAATAGCAATCTATTCAACCAGTATCTGGTTCCTTGAAAAGACAACCAAATAGAAACGCGTCTGGCAAACGTGATGAAAAATAAGAGCAGAGATATAACTGAACACTATCAGGAATTAGAAGGGAGATTTTGCAGTTCCTTAAAAAATTTTAAGAACGTTTGTACAAATTGATACCAGTAAATTCTAGTAACATAATTATTGCAATTGGCCTAAGGAAAAGAAACCCGAATACAGCAGTAATCAATAGACTGAAATTAGTAAAGAAAACAAAGACTCCTAAAAAGAAACTATACTAGATATTACCAGCTAACTATAGTACAGCTGATTATTATACAGATAATTACCACATTATATAAATTGTCTCATTGCACTAAAAAGTGTGAAGGCCACCTAAATTATTTTCCTAGTTTAGCATAACCCTGATGCCAAAACCTGACAAGAGTAAGTCTCAATTTAGAAAATGGATGGCACAGTCATTAAAACAGGGGGATACTGATGCAGAAATAGACCAATAGGTCAATGTAACCGAATCTTCCATGCGTATATGAGAATTTAATTCATAATAAGGCTGCCATTTCAAGTCCATGGAGACAGGCTGCAATTGAGACATCTGTGGCTATCCATTGGGAAAAATATAAACGTTCTTTATATTTCTATCAGTTGGTTAAGCGTCCAACTCTAGATTTCAGCTCAGGTCATGATATCAGGGTTGTGAGATCAAGCCCCATGTCGGGTTCCACGCTGGGTGTGGAGCCTGCTTAAGATTCTCTCTCCCTGCCCTACCCCGCCCCACCCCACCCCACCCTCCCTCTCTAAAAGAAAAAAAAAATCTATCTATCTATATATCTATCTTGTAACAAAACATTCACGCACAGACAAAAACATCCCAATTGATTAAATGTGCTTACCATGAAAAAGAAAACCTTAAGGGCATTAGAAGGAAAATTCAGGTTGTTTTTATAATACTGGGTAGGAAAGGCCTTCTTCAAACAATACAAAATGCGGAACATGTAAAACTATTCAGGCTGGACTATCTGTATGATAAAAGAAACCATGATCAAAGGTAATAGGAAACAGAGTTCCACCTAGAAGATGACAGCTTAAGAAACTTCACAGACACACTCACCAGAGAAACAAGCGAAAGGTAAGAACTATCTTAAAAACAACTATTAAATGTCTCTGCAAATTGTCCTAAGAACATACGGCAAATAAGGAAACACTTCCTCAAAAAACCAAAATCTACTAACCTAGGTAAAAACAGTGAGAGCCTGGCATTCGAACCATGATCTGCTCCCCCCCCCCACCTCTCCAGCTCGGTTTGATGTTAGACCCCTCCAGATAGGTATCGCCAGGAAGGCGGGGCTCCCTCTCCCCTCAGCTCCCAACTATTAGTTACCCATAGCTCACCAGTAAGGGCAGGCCACCAGTATTTGCCATCCTCCCATTCCAAACTGAAGAGGTTAAATTCTTAATGAGTGAGGCCGAGAGGTCAGGGGCTTTCTTTCTCCAATCAGTCCCCACTCAGAGGACTGAGAGGTTACACCAGCCACAGCAGGCTGAGAATACTGCAGTCCTGGTTGCCCTTGCCCCAGTCTGACCACAGGACAGAGGTTCCAAATATAAGCAGTAAGCCTAGAAGACCCCCCCCACCCGCTACTGCCTCACCCAGAGGCCAGAAGAGTGGCTCAAAAATCTTTCCCAAGGAGGAGAAGCAGCCCAGAAGAAAGAGAGCTCCTAAGCTCTCCCCCCAAGCTCTCTGTTTATTTGAAACAGAGTGTGGGAAAATTGAAGCCTAAGAGAGTTCTTGAAAATAACGGCTCCTGCAAATGAAGAACAAGGAACAAAGCCATAGGCCAACTATTTCACCAGAGACAACCAGGGATAGAGGCAGCTAAGAAGAGGCCCCTCTCGGGGGTGCCTGGGTGGCTCAGTTGGTTAAGCGACTGCCTTCGGCTCAGGTTATGACCCCGGAATCCCAGGATCAAGTCCCATATCGGGCTCCCTGCTCAGCAGGGAGTCTGCTTCTCCCTCTGGCCCTCTTCCCTCTCGTGCTCTCTCTCTCTCATTCTCTCTCTCCCTCTCAAATAAATAAAATCTTAAAAGAAAACAACTCAGAGGCAGCTAAAGGATATTCCCACCTGAAGTGAATCAGATCAGAGTGTGGCACAATTTATGCCACCAGGGCATTGTTGAAAACAATTAAAAAATAAATTGGCAATCAGTGGAGCCTAACAGGTGAGTGTCACAACAAATGAGGGAGACAGCTTAGCAGAGAGATCAGAGGAAGAAACAAAGAGAGCCCTGCGAAAACTGCCGTCATTGCGAGTGACTGTGTGTACACCCAAGTCTGCACTGACTGCGGAGTAACAACGAAGGCTTCATACTTTGGGGTAAACAGACTTAACTAAAATAGCCACATCACTAGACAATTAAATAAGCAAATAACAACAAAGTCAAACCCCTGGGAAGTGGGGGGGGGGTTGGAAACTCGACCTGAATCCAGAGTGCTACAATATACTACCTAACTGCCCAATTAAAAAAAAAAAAATGGGGCTATTCAGAGAAGCAGGAACGTGTGACTCATTTACAGAAACTAAGACAAGCAATAGAAACTGCCCGCGAAAGGGCAGGTATGCTGGATTTAATAGAAAAAAGTCTTCAAATCTGCCAATATTAATATGTTCTGAGAATTAAAGGAAATCATGCTTCAAGAAGTAAAAGAAGCTACCATGACATTTCTCATGAAACAGAGACCAGCCATTAAAGAGATACAAGTTATAAAAAGAACCCAGTGGATAATTTGGAGTTAAAAATGACATTGACCAAACGAAAGGTTTACTACAGGGGCTCAATTATAGATGGGAGTTGGCAGAAGAAAACACAAAATGGAAAACAGAGATTACACAATGCTAAGAACAGAGAGGAAAAAAGAATGAAGTAAAAGGAACAGAGTGCCCAAAAATGTGAGATACCTTTAAAGGCAGCAACCTACAAGTAGTAAGATTACCAAAAGAGGCCAAAAAAAGGAGTAGAAAAAAATGAATCACAGACCTAGTACCTCTGAAACAAATAATACATTATACATTAAAAAAAAAAAAGAAGATAGTAGGAAGGGAATAATGAAGGGGAGGGAATCAGAAGGGGAGACGAACCATGAGAGACGATGGACTCTGAGAAAAACCTGAGGGTTCTAGAGTGGTGGGGGTGGGGGGATGGGTTAGCCCGGTGATGGGTATTAAAGAGGGCACGTACTGCATGGAGCACTGGGTGTTATGCACAAACAATGAATCATGGAACACTACATCAAAAACTAATGATGTAATGTATGGTGATTAACATAACATAATAAAATAAAAAATAAAAATAAGTGATAACTAAAAAATAAGCTAAGAGGGTATTTGTGAGGATCAAGTCATGCATACGGAAGTGCTTCGACATCCGTAAAGCTCTGTGCAAATGTAATTATCCTACAGGCAGAGTGGGGTTCCAGTTCATCAGGCCAAAAAACAAAAAAAGAAATAATGACGAAAATTTTCTAAAAATGTTAATCTACACAGGCAGGAAGGTCAGAGAATTCCACGTACTATACATATGAAGAGATCCATGCCCTGACACATCATAGTAACAATGCTGAGGGCCAAAGTCAAAGAGAAAACCTTGAGAGCAGCAAGGGAAATGATCACTTACACGGTAAACCCATTAAGATTAACAGCAGATGTCTTATTAGGAAAAAAAATTAAAATGGAGTCCAGAAACAGGGGGGTGATATATTCAAAGTGCTGAACGGGAGAGAAAAAAAAAAAAAAAGTCAACTAAAAGTCTTCTATCCTGCAAAACTACCTGTCAAAAACAACAGCAAAATAACAACTCCCAGATAAACAAAAGCTGAGAGAATTCAACTGCTGGAGACCTATTTGTAAGGAATAGGAAAAGAATTTCTTCAGGCCAAAAGGAAGCAAACCTAGATGTAAATTTAAATACCCATTCTAAAAAAACAAAAAACACTGTTAAAGGTAATTATGTACTTTTTAAACAAAGTATAAATGCACATGTTTCCCTCTCTGTTTTAAAAAGCGGTTTTAGGGGCGCCGGGGTGGCTCAGCGGGTTAAGTGTCTGTGTTCAGCCCAGGTCATGATCCCGGACTCCTG